CTTTACAAAAGTAGATTGTTTCATATTCCTCCCATGGAGCAAAAGTGGCTATGGATAATAATTAAGCAAATGGATGTGACTATATCTCAATAATACTTTATTTGTGGATGCTGACATTTGGATTTCATGTGAATTTTCATATGTCATGTGTTTTTCTTTGGGAGTCTATACTGTTTGGGGTTCGTTGGACTTCCTGAATGGACATAATCTTGTCTTTCATCATATCAGGGAAGTTCTCCTCCAACAAATCTTGGACAATTTTCTCAGTGGTTTCATTTTTCTCTTCCTATTTTGGAATTCCAGTGACACATAGGTTATTCCTTTTGATGGTATCTTACATGAACCTTAGGCTCTCTTCATTTTGTTTTGATCTTTTTTTCCAACTGATCTCTTTCCAGAGAAGTATTCAGGTATTTGTCTTCAGTTTCCTTAAATCTGCCTTCCATTGCATCAGTTCTACTCCTTTGCCCTTTCAATGTGTTATCTATTTCTGACAATTTAGTATTAATCTTCTGGATTTCTATCTGTAGATTTAGAATCATTTCTAATTTTTCATTTATTTTGTCATGTATTTTCTTCCAGAATTCTTCTAGGGTTTTGTCTGTGTTTTCCTTGGTCTGTCTATCAATCCTTTGAAGATACCTAAATATCATTCTTTTGAATTCCTTATCAGAAAGTTCCAATGCTGCTTCTTCCTTAGGGATGTGTTCTGGGTCTGTATCCTGCCTCCTTGTTTCTCCTGCTTTATCTTGCTTCTTTGTGTGGACTCTGATGGTCTGTTGTCTCTGAGACATCGTGGCATTGTTATATTTATATCTCTCTTAACTCTGAGGAGCAGCCAAGGATGAGTTAGGCTCTTCTTTGGTGGTTGTTTATCGTTGGCCCATTGGTGGAGAAGGAAGTGGTGGTTCTCACTCAGTAAGTGAAGCTGCAGGAGGTGTGGGTGTAGTTGTGTTGTATGGGCACTGTGTTAGATTGGGTTCTCTAGAGAAACACAAAAAACCAGCAAAGTGTATATATATATA